ACTACAGGTACGCTAACCCCACTCTGACTACAGGGCAGCGCCTAACTACAGGTACGCTAACCCCACTCTGACTACAGGGCAGCGCCTAACTACAGGTACGCTAACCCCACTCTGACTACAGGGCAGCGCCTAACTACAGGTACGCTAACCCCACTCTGACTACAGGGCAGCGCCTAACTACAGGTACGCTAACCCCACTCTGACTACAGGGCAGCGCCTAACTACAGGTACGCTAACCCCACTCTGACTACAGGGCAGCGCCTAACTACAGGTACGCTAACCCCACTCTGACTACAGGGCAGCGCCTAACTACAGGTACGCTAACCCCACTCTGACTACAGGGCAGCGCCTAACTACAGGTACGCTAACCCCACTCTGACTACAGGGCAGCGCCTAACTACAGGTACGCTAACCCCACTCTGACTACAGGGCAGCGCCTAACTACAGGTACGCTAACCCCACTCTGACTACAGGGCAGCGCCTAACTACAGGTACGCTAACCCCACTCTGACTACAGGGCAGGATTTTTTTGCGATGCACGCAGGAGAGAAAAACGGACAATTAAGCTCTACAAGTTGTAAAACCAGAAAGAAACGAACGCATACAGATCATGATATCCTTTATCTGCTGTGTTCTTTGGTCAGTTATATAGTACAGGGTGTAGAAAGCCCTTTGTAGCTTGTCAGCTTAACCTGTAGGCTGGAGATTCTCTCCTCTCCTGTAGGTTGTGGCACTGCTTGTTTTTTTTATTTAGGATAGAGAGTAGAGGAGCAGAGGGAGCAGAGGACGTAATATGCAGAGGAGGAGAAGCAGCAGACGAAGATACATCGAGAGGAGAGGGAGCAGAGGACGATACATGCAAAGGAGGAGAGGGCAGTGAGGCGGAGGAGAGAGAGCAGAGGTGGTTACTGCAGTGCACGCGGTAAGGTTCGCCTTATGCTTTTCTTCTATTCCGTCATCCCGTCATCTTGTTCTCATTCCGTCATCTTGTTCTCATTCCGTCATCTTGCTCTCATTCCGTCATCTTGCTCTCATTATGTCATCTTGCTCTCATTCCATCATCTTGCTCTCAATCCGTCATCTCTTCTCATTCCGTCATCTTGCTCTCATTCCATCATCTTGTTCTCATTCTGTCATCTTGCTCTCATTCCGTCATCTTGCTCTCATTCCGTCATCTTGTTCTCATTCCGTCATCTTGCTCTCATTCCGTCATCTTGTTCTCATTCCGTCATCTTGCTCTCATTCCGTCATCTTGTTCTCATTCCGTCATCTTGCTCACATTCCGTCATCTTGTTCTCATTCCGTCATCTTGTTCTCATTCCGTCATCTTGTTCTCATTCCGTCATCTTGTTCTCATTCCGTCATCTTGCTCTCATTCCGTCATCTTGTTCTCATTCCGTCATCTTGCTCTCATTCCGTCATCTTGTTCTCATTCCGTCATCTTGCTCACATTCCGTCATCTTGTTCTCATTCCGTCATCTTGTTCTCATTCTGTCATCTTCTTCTCATTCCGTCATCTTTGTCTCATTCCGTCATCTTGTTCTCATTCCGTCATCTTCTTCTCATTCCGTCATCTTGTTCTCATTCCGTCATCTTGCTCTCATTCCATCATCTTGTTCTCGGTTTCCCAAATCTCCTGTCCTGAAGTTCTTCTCTAGTACCAATCCACTTCTCTCCGTAGGCTGTTAGACTTTGGCTTTTATTCCATCGTCCTCCTTCCTTCTTGTTCCTCCTTCCTTCCTGCTGTAGGACGCAGGGGAGCAGGAAAGTGGGGGCAGATATGAAGGAGCAGTTAGGAGCACAATACTGTGATGTGGTGAGCCTCCTCTGACAGACCCTCTTTCTTTCCATTCCTGGGGCCTGCTCCTTTTTTCCTCTACACATTTCTACACGTTTCTGCTCCGCCTCGCTCTCTCCTTGTCTTTCTCCTCATTTGCCATTGCCTCCTTGCCTTCCACTGACATTATTCCGCCCCTCCCAGTTCCCTCTGTATGACTGTACCTTCACCCTTTGCTCTGTGATTCCTTCCCTGTCACCCCTCTTCCTTTCACTGTCACCTCTCTTCCTTTCCCTGTCTTTCTTCCATCAGGCGAGGACAGCTAGGCGAGGCAGCAAATGGGGCGCTGGAGGGAACACAATGGGCGGACACGGTTTTCCAACGGGTCTCGGTCAGACTTCTTTCGAGACGCCTCAAAGGGTAAGGTCCTCGTGTTGCTTGTCAGTTTAGCCTTCTGTGCCACTCCTTTTTCTGTCAGAGGGAGCAACGGTCAAGCAGCAATCGCATGCTGCATGCTAAGATCCCCTCCACACCACATTTCCTTGTGTGGCCGTTCCACTCCTTTTCTGTCTTTCAGTCAAGCGGCATTCGCATGCTGCATGCTATGATTCCCTCCACATTTCCGTGTGTCGCCTCGCCAGCCCTCTCTCTTTCTTCTTTGAACGTCATCGCTGCTCCTCTCATACCGTCTTTCCTTCTAACCTCCTCCCCTGCCTTTTTTCCTACAGTCTAACACAGCATGGCACGGGAGTGGCAGCAGCAGCAATACCAGCAAGGGGCAACTAGCAAGGGCTAATCAACTGCCCTCTTTCCGTGGTACGTCCCTCATTCCCTCCCTTCCCGCATCTCCTCAGAACACTATGCTCCGTCCACTCTCACTTCGTTCCCCTCTGCTTCTTCACGCCACCTTCTTTCCTCTCATTTCCTCGTGCACCACAGTCTGGCAAACTGGCACCACTTGCACCTACAGGCACCAACAGGTACCACTGTCCTCCTGCACCACCGTCTAGCAAACAGGCACGCAATGTTGGCATGGGACGGACTACAGGCTAGGTCAAGTCAAACAGGTCGTCTTCTTATGGTAATGCTGCTCGCTCTACCCTCTTCTTCTCTACCCCCAATTTCCATTCGTCGGCCTCTCTGTTGCATCACCTCTCTGTTTCGCATTTCTTTTACCTTCACTCCTCTACCTTCAGATGCCTTAATTCTCTGCTCTTCCTCTCCTCTTTCTTACCATTCCTTATTTCTCGGCTCTTCCTCTCCACTTTCTTCGCATGCCTTATTTCTCGGCTCTTCCTCTCCACTTTCTTCGCATGCCTTATTTCTCGGCTCTTCCTCTCCACTTTCTTCGCATGCCTTATTTCTCGGCTCTTCCTCTCCACTTTCTTCGCATGCCTTATTTCTCGGCTCTTCCTCTCCACTTTCTTCGCATTCCTTATTTCTCGGCTCTTCCTCTCCACTTTCTTCACTCTTCTCCTCCCCTTTCCTCATATGTCTTCTTCCCTCGTGTTTCCTCCTTTAACTTTGATCAGCAGCAGTCGGCTCATGTGCCCATCTCTCTCTCTCCCTCCTTCCTTTGGGGTGTGTTTGCTGACATGACAGGGTTGGACTGGTGAGGCAGGGGTGGAGAGTAAGGCAGTGGAACCAACTGGAGTGGCCAGCCAGTGACGAGCCCATCGTGGTCTGTGAAGGTGAGCAAAAAGCAACCAAACACAGACTGAATTCCAGAAACAGCATATCATATCATATCATATCAAGTCATATTATATCGTATCATATCAGATCAAATCATGTACATTTTGTAGGAATGTAAACCATGTGAAGTATGTGCCCGAATCGGACAAATCCTATCATTTTATATCATACATTATTCTAACATGTTAGAAGATCGAATTACGTCTGCATTGCCTCCTCCGATCGTCTGCTTGCAGGACAACAGAAGGAAGAAGGAAGACCGTCTCCTCTCGTCTCCGTTTGGAAGCCAGGAAGGAAGATGAAGACCTTGCTAGAGCTGAAGCAGTTAGGGTAGGATAGATTATCTAGACTAGTAACCCTCTCAGGTATGGTATCCCCCCCTCTCCCCCTGCGTAGCCCCCCCATGCCCCTCCCCCCATTTTCCTTCCCCACCGGACCCACCCACCTCAGCAACCCCCTGCGTAGGGCCTAACCACAGGGCTAACAGCAGGGCAACAGGGCAAACCACAGGGCTTACAACAGGGCAACAGGTCTAATCACAGGGCTAACCACAGGGCTAACAACAGGGCAACAGGTCTAACCACAGGGCAACAGGTCTAATCACAGGGCTAACCACAGGGCTAACAACTGGGCAACAGGTCTTATCACAGGGTTAACCACAGGGCTAACAACAGGGCAACAGGTTTAACCAGGGCAACAGGGCTAATGACAGGGCAATACAGCTAACCACAGGGCTAACCACAGGGCTTATAAGTTATCACAGAGCTAACCACAGGGCTTATCACAGAGTTTATGCCCATTGGCGTGCTAATTACAGGGCTCTTGCACCAGAGCACACTGATCACAGGGCTGTGGATTGACAGTACTAACCACCAAGCTAGTGCTTCAGGGCATACTAACCGCAGGGCTTGTGCATACAACCACATTACTACAGAGAATGTGCATTGGTCCCAGGACTTGCGCACGAAAGGACGCTGTTGACAGAGTCGATGCAACAGTGTGCTCAAACCACAGGAAACCACCACAGGGGTGTGCATTGGAGAACACTAAGTTGAGGGGGTTTACAGAGGTGCATGCATGAAAAACACCAGCTGCAGGAAAGTTTCCATGGTCACACTCCCAGCCCGCCCACCAGCCCGCCAGCCCGTCAGCCACCAACAAGAAAGAGAGCAGCTAATTGTCCAGCCAACCAACCAACCACCCACCAACAAACTCATCTAAAACAGCAGGGTGGTTTCTGAGTTTCAGTTCCTTCCATCTAGTCTCTGACATTGGCACCGTATGTACATTGTACATGTACATTTCAAGGCTGCAGATATACCCTAGTTCTGCTTCTCCCAGGATTTTATCATCCCACCATTGTACTGCACTGATGGGACAAGAGTTGCACATGATACTGCAATGTCTCTAGGCTATTTGTTTTTGAACGGTAGACTTCTTACTGCAATCCTAACTTCACCAACAACACCAAGCTGCTGCTGAGAAGCATTTGTGGGAATAGGTGACTGCACGCCTTTTGAGACTTCCATCAGGACACCACAATAGAAGTGAATCTGCAACAACGAAGCACCGCGTTAGTTATCATAAATTGCAAGGACCATAGATGCAAAAAAGGTCGGCCACAATGTAACCTACTTTTCCATCAAAGGACCTGACTGGCGATACATGCAGTAGGTTCCAGAACTTCGAACCATCCTTTCTGCACAGGGATTAAAAGTAGGGTATCTCATGAGCAAACAATCACCCACCAAGGAAAAACTGCAGCGCCCTTCTAGAATCAAGTACTTACCTGTAATTGAGGATATTCACAGAACATGACCTGCTCCCATGTATGGCATCCCGAAGCTGTCACGCACAAAGTCCATGGCAGCAGTGGATCATGCACGTTGCAAAAGAAATGCGAGCAGCACACGCACGTATCGCTAAGGTGTACAGATTTACAAGTGCATTACCGTACCTCTTGGACATGGTCCGGGTTAGTCTCTGGACCTTGAAGGAAGCGGCAGTTTTTTCCCACCACTTCTTGCCAAGAATAACCTGGCAAACAAACTTGTCTGTTAGCAATATAGGTATACGTATATGAGAAAGTTTTAGGAATCTTGAGTTGCATGTTCTGCACCTGTCATTCTTAAGAAGGGCTTGCTTGCATAGACGATGGGATACTCTGAGTTTGTGGCATCTACCCTGCAAAATTTCCACTTGTGAGTTGACAAAGCCAAATACGGAAACGAATGCACCTGATGCAGATAAGGCCAACTCACAGTACAATGCATTGATGAATTCTTGCCAGCGATGTCTGAAGCGTTCCTGGAAGCTGAGAAACCGAGTCAACCGAAGTGCCTGCAGTCTCAGGACCTGCATTTCTCTGAGCGGGTAACGAGCTCTGAAGGAGCTCACAAAAAGAGGCCCACTTATTCGAAGCAAGCTCGGCTGATAGGCGAGCAAGCGACTCATATTCTTGAAAACGCGGGCCACCATCTGCAATGCCGCATACAGAAAAAACCTAGCTGGCGTTAACAGTCCATTCTTCAGATTACATGCACTTTTTGATTTTCATAATCGGGGGATACCACGAGCTAGGAAACACTCTCCTAGCGCGACGGGCATACGAGTCAGTTATCAGCAACCAGGCTACGCACCATTTTGGCCGATTCGTGCAGCACCAGCACTTGCATCGTCAAGAGATGGGCTCTGCCCAGAAGCCAATGTTGTTGTGGCCTCCTCAGAAACTTCAAATCGAGCAGGCAAACAAGTCTGCACGCCAATGTAATGCTCGAGCACATGTTTCGGACCCATATGAACAGGAGTTATGTGGAAAAGGTTCCAGAATGGAGTACCGTCCTTTGTATAGTTCAAAATCTGAACCTGGCATGACACTTCATTCCTGCAAAAACAAATGATTGCCGGACGGCACGTGTCAGAATTTGGAAGACAGCAGGCGTCAGAATCTGGAGGGTAATCAGATACGACAACCATGTCACCGACCTAATAGCATCACGTATCTTCACAACTGCTCCTCTATCAGTCCCCGGACCCTGAAGGAATCTGCAATTTCGTCCAAGCACCTCCTTACGGGTGTAACCCGTCAGTTCCAGAAAGGCATCGCTGACATATACTATGGGATTGTCCTGCTGTTTAGGGTCCGTGACCACAAAACTGACATTCAAGTCTTTGAGGGCGCAGAGACGCCTCGAAGCGCTCTCATCCGACATGGTCTCCGCCAGCTGATTCACGCTTCAAAGAAGCTAAGCGCACGAAAAAAGCTACGCCGTATGCAGGAAGGAAGATCGTTTCTTACAGCTCACTCGGTATAACTGTGTCGTTCCCCAGACGAAGAGCACAAATCGCTGGAGTGAGGGAAGGGTGAGGTGAAGGGGAAATTTGTGGTTGAAAAGAGCACAAATGGAAAGGCGAAACACTTGCCACATCGCCCAAAAAGCACCGTGCTCGTGACGTCAGGCCAGGCGCTTTCACATTCAGCAAAAATAGTTGTACACCCAGGCCAAAATACTACGTTAATAATAACAGAATAAACCTGATTCATGCCATCATGCTGTCAAGTTGAGCCAAGCCAGATATTCTTTGGCAAATCAATGCTGTCAATTGGCTACAAATCTGCTAGCGGGCATTGCGATGCCACCACCCTAGGGGAACTTATTAGGTTAAACTAAACAGGTACGAACAGAGCCATGATCAGTTAAATGCCCGCATATCCATGCTTCTGGGAAAAAGATCCGCCGTAATGCCAGTATGGCAGAAAGGACCAAAGTAACCTCATGTTGCTGCTGGCGCTTCACCTTCCTTCTTATCCTCATGCATCCGAACAACCACAACAGGGCAGTCACCTGAAACGCATAGATTTGAAAGCATTTACATAAAACGGTCTGCAGATATTATGAGCAATCGTGGAACCAGGAAAGAAAGGATTGCAGGACTTACAGTGGTGGACACAGTAGTCACTGACACTGCCCAGGCGAGCCTTCCTTGACCGCTTCTCAGCACCAAACCCTCGGCTTCCCATGATGCAGGCATTGACCCCAGCTCGCTCTACCTGTGATCAGCCAAAGAGGAGTAGCACTGACATTCGAGCGTTGCAAGCAAATGCAAATAACTGCACAGGTAGTATCAACCAGTTTTAGCGACATGCAATATGTAATGTGTTGAAACGCGTGAAGCACTCGTATCCAGCATACCTCAAGGCAGATACGCTCTTTCATGTCATGATCTTTCACAATGTGGGTCTTATACTGTATTCCAGCCTCTTCCAATGGAGCAGCAAGATCCTTGGCCTTGGCAACGGTCAGTGCATCGAAGTCGTCCTCCATTTTCTGCTTCGTCTCCTTATCAGGAGCTTCCTCTGTGGTTTCCGATGCACCCCAATCCGCACCATATAACACGGAGGTGGGGCGAACATGTAACAGAACCACCTGATACACAACATAACGCCATTTTACAGGCCAGCAATGCGAGGCAGAACAGTTTACAGCCTTTTTTTCCGTGCGGTATGACGCTAGCAATTTTATTTGGTCAATTTAAAAGCAGCTCGCGTCTCGAGCATTATCTTACAGAAATTCCGTGCTGCATCCCTTTCGGACAACGCGTCAACCAACAAAACTCACATGGTCTGACGGACGGAGGTAGTTCTTGACAGCCCACTTGACCGCGTGAGCGCTTTCATCGCTCAAATCCACGGCTATCGCTATCTTTCTTGCTGGCTCCATGACTCCGCCTCCTTCCTTAACCTCAACCACCTCTGGAGATCGCTGTCGCTTCTTCGCGCCCCCTGGGCCTACCTCTGGAGCCTCTGTAGCCGCCACGTCGGCAAGTGCACAAGAAAGTCTGACGGATTTTCAATTCTAAAAAAATGGTCGTTACTCGGATAAGCAGAGCCAGCTACCATGCACGCCACAAGAAACCTATCCGAAACTAGGAAATCGAGATTTGTTCGGTGTAATGGGTTTGCCACTCACTGGCACTGCTCTGCTATTGCGCTTCCTGTGCTTTGGAATGGTGGAATAGCAGGGGAACATTAGAGGGAGAAAAGGCTTGCTCCGCACTTCAACGACCAAAATTCAGCTTGTGAGCGAAATCCAATGCGATTCCGTCTGGCTGGCTCGCTTGCCCTCATCCCTTGTTAGTTGGATTACACTCTGCAGAGTTTCCGCCAGCCTATGACTAGCCAGGCGAGAGACAGTACACTGGCCAGTTCGTTACGTTCTTCCCTCCCCACGAATATGCCGTGGTGGACCCTTTCTTGGACATGTCATCTTGGACAAAGACGCGTGGCAGATTGGATGCCACAACAGTACACTTTTAAAATAACTTAAAAATGCTATATATTATTAGATCGACTGGCACTTGAGAAAACACTTCAAGCACACAATAAAAATTCCTGGCATCATGGAACTTTGTAGGCCCAGACCTAGATGTACGCAAACCAATGAACAACATTCTTTGCCGTGACTAGCATCTCTACTAATATCATTTATGAAGGTACCGTAAGTACAAAGATAGTAATGGGAAGTCAATGCAAAATATACTGCACACAGCTCTCCAAATATCTAACTCTTATGGGATCAACGAAAACATCCCTAGTCATGGGATTTACAAGGAAAGTTGTAAAAGCTTGCCATACTCCTTCCAGCCCTCTCTCCTCGTGTTCCCTCCGCACGCAGTCCTTGCATTCCAGCAGCTCCCCTTGCTCCAGCTGCTGCCAGCCTGCACATGACACGATGCCATGCCAAACCACAGCACACCCCAAACAATGGCATGCCACATGATGGCATCCCACACCATGTCATACCACACCATGTCATACCACACCATCACAAACCGCACCATGACATGGGATGCGCAGTATGGGATGCCACCCATCACATGATCACACAGCACACTAATGAGATAACGCACCGTGACATGCCACAGGATGACATGGCACACCATGGTGCTCACCATGCCCCACAGATGCATGCGAGATTATATGACACCAACGCATTCCCCGTCACACTATCGCATGCCACACCATAATATACCATACTGTTGCATACCTTACTGTAACATATCACACGGTGATATACTATACTGTAACATACAACACTATACCATACTACAACATGCCGCAGAGTGTACCACCCCGCAGCATAAGATACCATAATGCAACATACCACACTGAAAGTGCTACACCATAGCATGCCACATAGCGAATGCCACACTTTACCAGACATACCGTAACATACCATCATCATCATATAGTATCCCCCACTCCGGCAATGCACGATAACATACTGTCATATGGACAACGTAAAAAACATACCACACAGCAACATGCATCTGTAACATACTACACTGTAACATACCACGCTGTACCATGCACGCTATAATATGCACACTCACACACTATAATATACCACACCATAATACAACATAACATACACAAATTTACATGCACACGCCACACAATAACATACACACTCTTTACATGCACACTACGCACACTGTAACATGCACACAGTAATACCTCACGATCACCACCACTGCCAACCTTCAATGCCCAGCCCCACTTCACACACACACACCACCATCCACCACAACTCACCCACCCAAGGGGGTTCAGCCCCCCCCCCCATCACTCACCCACCCAAGGGGGTTCAGCCCCCCTCCCCATCACTCACCCACCCAAGGGGGTTCAGCCCCCCTCCCCATCACTCACCCACCCAAGGGGGTTCAGCCCCCCTCCCCATCACTCACCCACCCAAGGGGGTTCAGCCCCCCTCCCCATCACTCACCCACCCAAGGGGGTTCAGCCCCACTCCCCATCACTCACCCACCCAAGGGGGTTCAGCCCCCCTCCCCATCACTCACCCACCCAAGGGGGTTCAGCCCCCTTCACTCTCACCTATCCACCCAGCCCAGCCTCACCTTCACCTGCCAGCAGTAGGAGCAGCAGACAGCCCACTTTCTTAGGAAACAGCAACCCCAGAGGCTGTGCCTTGTGGGGCGAGGTGTGGTAGTGGAAAATTGCTTCCAGCCCAAGACTCAAATCTCACCCCTGACGTGGCTAGAGCTGACGCGAACCAGAGCCGCCGGCCGGTCGGCTCTGACGGTGTCCATTAAGCCTTAAACGCCAGTTCGGTTACTTGAGCACCGAGTGCCGTGCCGCGCAGATTCCACCCACCACACCCCACCACCACAAGGCACAACCCCAGAGGGTGCTGCTCCTAAGGCCGTGAACTCCCCGCTTGTTCCCATGCTCCCCACCCACCCACCCCACACTTCACCCACATGCCTCCTTACCTGTACTTACCTCCACTTACCTCAGCTGTGCAGAGCGCCATGATGCTGAGGCTGCTGGGAAGTGGAGAGAGAAGGGGGGATTAGGGGAGGGAGAGACTCCTCTGTGGTCCAGGCAGGGTGCTGCTGGGAGGGAAGGGAAAAGGGAGAGAGGAGGAGGTGAGTGAGAGGGTGGACTCCACTCTCCAGCCCTTGCTCCAGTGCTCCCACCCTCAGCCTGTGGGGAAAAGGGGGGAAGAGAGAGAGGAGGGGATCAGCCTACCATACCTCACCTGTACCATACCTCACCTGTACCATACCTCACCTGTACCATACCTCACCTGTACCATACCTCACCTGTACCATACCTCACCTGTACCATACCTCACCTGTACCATACCTCACCTGTACCATACCTCACCTGTACCATACCTCACCCACAACTAGCTAGCCTAACCTGCCCCTAGCCCCCCAACCCCCGCTGCTGCTACTGCTGCTGTCACTGCCGCATCTGCTGCTGCTGCTGCTGCTGCTGCTGCTGCTACTCTGCTTCCTCAGCTGCAATCTTCTCTTGACGCCAAGTGGCCTGGTAGCGGGCAGAAAAGGGGGGAGGAACAAGAGAAGAGGGGCAGAGGAACTGGTGAGTTGGCATGAACACAAAGACTCAGTGGACAGAAGAACACTTGAGTGGGCAGAAACGAGAATGCAGAATTGAAGAGAGAGATCCTGCAGCGAGTGAACTCGAGTGGAGGAGAGGAGAGGCCAAGGCGTGAGATTCCATACCTTGAGGGTGCCAAGCCCACCCCGATACTCTCCCTGGCAGCACCCACTTCAGTCTGCTGCAGTGCTGCCTCCTTCCCATCCCCGTGGGTACCTGCAAGGCCACCAGGGGAGGGGCTGGGGAAGTGGCGGTGTTGACCCCATGCCCCTCCCCTCAACCAGCAAGGAGGAAACTGAAGAGAAGTGAGTAAGCGGCTAGGGGGGCAAAAGTGAGAGCAATGGAAGGTGAGAGCAGGAAAGAAGGTCACTGGTGCAGCCTCAGCTACAAGCCACAGACACAAGGGGGGTATACGCACCTAGGGAGGCTTAACCTGAGAGGATACCTGCTGTACCTGGGGTGGTTACCTGAAAAAAAGGGGTCTGTGACTTTAAGCTGTGGCACGACCAGAGGCTCACGTTTGAAAAGACAAGAAAGGATCAACATGGAATGCCAGAGAAGGTCGGGGAGAAGTAAAGCAGGGCAGGGACTTAGCTGTGGGTGGGTTGGGTGGAGAGCAGCTGCTGCCTGTACAGTCCATGTCCCACGCCACTGCTAATCCGGTGTGAGCAACCTGCTGGGGCGAGAGGGAAATGAGGAGAGGGAGAAGAGGACGTTGGTGTGACAGAGGAGCAGAGGAGTGGGGAGGGCAAAGCATGCTCGCTGAGAAAGACAGGAAAGGGACATCTGCAGCAGTGAGAGGGGGTGGTGAAAAGAGGCTCACCTTGAAAGGCCAAGCCCACCCCAGATACTCTCCCTCATGGCAGCATTCTTCCCGCCTTCCCTCCCACCCGCCACCAGCACCTGCAAGGCCACCAAGGGAGGAGCGCGAGGGAGCGGCGGTGTTGACCCCACGCCCCTCCCCTCAACCGGCAAGGAGGAAACTGAAGAGCACTGAGTAGGAGACTAGGAGGAGTAGGAGACTAGGAGTTGAAGCGTGAGGGGTGTGCATGGGTGGGGTGGGATGGCAGGTGAGAGCAGCAGAGGGACCACAGGAGCAGCGCTAGGCACATGGTGCAGACCCAAAGGTAGTGTGGGCCATAATAGAGGTTCAGGGCTTAGGGTAGGCTTAACCTGGGGGCTGGGGGGGGGGGATACCTGGAATAGGGGGTCTGCACCATGTGGGCTAGGCTGCTGCAAGTGGCTTGGTTTGAAGAGATGAGGCATGCAGCATGGATGGAAAGTTGACGTGCAGATGCATGTGGGAGTGCATGTGTGAGAGAGAACAAGCATTGACAAGGCGAGAGGTAAGAGTGTACTTATCTGGTGCGGCTGCGAGTGGTGGTGGCGCCTTGAGCCTTGAGGCTGCTGTGCTGCCGCCACTGAAGCGCCTCCCACCACCCAAAGGCGCTGCTACAGCCTTCAATGCACTGGACGCTGGCAGAACGAGGGGAGGGCAGAGGGAAGGACGCAGGGAGCAAGGGGCACAAGTGAGAATGGGGCGGAGACGAGGCAGAAGTGTGAGAGCAGGAAGGGAGAAAGAAAGGGAAGCGAGCATGGGGAGAAGACCAAGCGGCATCATGTGACAGGAAGAGCAGAAAATCTCTGGCAGGGAGGGCAAAAGAGGCTCACCTTGTCTCAGACGACCCAATCCCGATACTCTCCCATCCCATCCCAGCCGAGTGGAGTGCTGCCCCCCTCCCCTCCCACCACTGCCACCTGCACGGCCACAGGGGAGGGGCGTGGGGAAGCGTCGGTGTTGACCCCCGCCCCTCCCCTCCACCTGCAAGGCACACACGCAGAGCTGGTCAGTGGGCAGCGAGGGGATGAATGGTGAAAGTGCAAGAGAGGGAACGGCAGTTGCAAGGCGGGAGAGGGGAGGGGCCACTGGTGGAGGCCAAGTCACAAACCACAGACCCAAGGGCTGCACCTGAGGGGGTACCTGCACACCTGCACCTGAGGGGTACCTGCACCTGAGAGGTTTACCTGAAGTCGGGGGGTCTGCAGCATGTGAGGCGGGCCCAACCAGTGGCAATGTTTTAGTAGGAATGGTGCGAAAGCGCGTGCAAAAACGAGACGGCAGCAAAGTACACAAGACATGGCGAGGCAGGCAAGGGGTTGAGGGAACTTAGCTGTAAGGCGTGAGAGCGAGCAGAGGGCAGCTGCAGCACCACCAGGCGCCTCCTTCCCCGGCAGCCCTCCTCCCAGCCTTCCCGTGTGCGTCCCTCCCTGCACGGCCACCGGGGAGAGGCGTGAGGGAATGGCGGTGCTGACCCCACACCCCTCGCCAACGCACACACACGGTAGGAGTGAGTGGGAATGGAAGGCATGGCATGGCAGCACGCACAGCGACAACACACAGGCCACGTGCATGGATGGCATTGGAAACGAGAGCAAAGCCTGCTGCACCACGCCACACCCAAGGGGGGAACCTTAGTCTCAACCTTACCTCGCTCTCACCATTACCTTGGCTCAAATTTTTGTACCATTACCAGGGGAGGGGGTACCTAGACCGAACCTGGTACCTGGAGGACAAGGGCTTGGGTGTGCCAGCGAGCAGGGCGGCGGCGTTGGTGGTGTTGGTGGTGCAGCGAGCAGGGCGAGAGTGCGGCGTGCATGCGAGCGAATGGACACAGCGAGGCGAGGCGAGTGCATGCCAAGTGCGGAGGGGTACTTAGCTGCGATGCACGACAGCCCGTTGGCGTTGCCGTTCACTGCAGGACAGCCCGCACCCAGCAGCACCCAGCAGCACCCAGCAGCACCCAGCAGCACCCACAGCAGCCGAGCAGGCGTTGACGGGAAGAAGCAGTCGCGCCCACAGCAGCAGAGCATACGTTGACTGGATAGGAGAGGGGTGAGAGAGGGGGGGGGGGGGGGGGGGGGTGGGGGACGACATGGGTGAGCGCAAGGGGCGGAAAAGCAAGCAGGAGAAGGGCAGCAGAGGTGCACACATGCATGAGAGAAGAGAACGCCAACGACAGCAACGCCTGCCGCACAACACCCAGGGGAGTACCTCAGTCTGAACCGTACCTGAGCCGAACCTGTACCAAGGAGAAGAATTTTTGCACCTGGAACGGGGGGGGTATTACCTTTCGAACGAACCTGATTACCTGTTGAGAATTGGGGAAAGCCCTTGCGTGTGGTGGTGAGCAGGCGTGCAGCGAGAGGCGCTCGTGGCAGCGTGGGAAGGGGTGCATGCATGCGGAACGACAAGGCAGTCAAGGGCGAGAGGGTACTTATCTCCGTTACTACACATCACGGAGCGTTGATGCTGGCAGCTCATGCCACGCAGCACGAGGGCTCACTGCGCTAGTTGACTGCCCGCCAGTAGAGCGGAAACGCCAGTAGAGCGGAAACGCCAGAAGCGCGGAGACGTCAGTAGCGCGGAAACGCCAGAAGCGCGGAAACGTCAGTAGAGCGGAAACGCGTGGATGCAGAGGATCGCGTTGAGCCGGACCCAGTAGCTCTCGTGTGCGAACCTGCGAGACAGCGTACAAACAAAAAAACCATCAGATACCTTACATTGGAGATTGGCACGAACCAAACGAAAAGAATGGTGACTGTCTACCCGAGATGGGGTAGACCAATGCCATCGTTTTGAAACTTACGTTGGTGCGTGCTGAGATGCCTAACTGAAGATCGTTTCCGCGTGCTGAAATGCCTTGAATCGAAGCAAATGCTGTTGAATCGAAGCGACTTCGCACGTTTCTGCGGAAAAGCAGAGAGTGGAATCAGTTGTCTAACAATAAAATAAAAAAACGGAACGGTTGGCCTTAAAAACTTCGACTTACGGTGAGAAAAAATTCGTTTCTCGCAGAATAACTAGACAGTTGATCCGAACGTCAACGCAGCACGGACTTAGCATCCAGAAGCAACGCTCGTGCTGGCAGCAGCCGAACTTCGGATCCGTGTAGGCTAACTAGGAAAATGGAAAATGGAAAATGGAACACGAGAATGCGAGAGCAGAGTGGGGCTAGCTCGAGACGTTGCGTTGGGAAAGGCGAAATCCGTTGGAAAATGGAATGTGATGGAGGTAGGAGAATGGCATGCAGGAAGAGAGATTGGCTGGAGGCGGAATGAATGGGTCTAACCGGTTTGCAAAACTTGATGGTCGGGAGAAATATTTTAGCTAAAAGAGCATCGTTTGAAGGCTAAAAATGCCTACTAGGAAAGCTTACGAGAAAACATTGCTTTCTTCTCCCAACCCCACCGCCTTTACCACTCCCGACCTCCTACCCTAAAAAAAATCATCTGCTGCGGACAACTTTGGATCAACTCCACGTGCCTGGGATAATGCAACACGAGGCAACAACGCCGACACCTCTGGGAGGGATGGCCGTTAAAGTGCAATGAAATGAGGAGGGAGATGCGACCGTCGGATCTTTCTAGAACAAAAGAGGTGAAGGGCTCAGATCAAAGGGGTGAACGTTCGAACGATATGTCTTGGCGGCAAACCGACATTTCGTAACGTGGCGCAGCGGATTGTGTGGTTGATGTCGGCTGGATAGCCCAATACGAGGGAACCCTAGCTAGCCGTTGGAGGGAAAGCTGATGGAATCCGAGGTTTTGGCTGGGTTTGGCTTGGCTTCCCTTCTCTCACAGAGCCCTACAGAAATATCTGAGGCGCATAATCCAGAGGGGAGATGCTGGCGTGGCGACATTGGGGTATCTGTAGCGAAGTGGTTCTGACGAAATTCGTATGTCCGGTAACCTGGCTCGATCTGAAGGTGTGGTAAGCATCCAATAATCTCAAAGACATCCTTGAGACGTGGCAATTCTGATCCAAAAGCTGACACAGTTTCCGGCGTGGCAGACAGACCCATACAGCTTTGCGCCATTCGCTTCAAAATGAGCTTTGGTTTGATCGTTAGCAAGGGTATTCACAACACCAAACACATCTTCCATATGTTGCACAAACCTACATGCTCTGCTCATTTCAAGATTGAAGCTTCAGACGGTTGAAAAGAATGAGAAAGTGCCTCTCAGGTAATGAGAAAACAAAGCCGAGCTCAGCACCATTTGTGTGGCGAGAACCCTGTATATTGAGGGGCACACCACACCAATACGGTAAGCACCATTGGGAAAAAAATGATATAATGAACAACTGAAATGGAATGAATGGAGGATGGAAAACGACTACAACCATGTCCTGGTGTATCCCGACAAGGAAAATTCTAGAGGAATTGTTGATAGACTGGATACGGCAGAAAAAGGAATAGTGGGGCTAGTTACCTTTCCATCGAAAACAAGCAACTCCCCATCCACCCAGCGAGGGTTCTTGAAACCAGGCTCTGCCAGCTGACCCTGGCCAGGGTACCTCGCAACCTGAAATGACACAAGGCACAGAAACACAGACGGCCACTCAGGACATAAAAAACCACGACCTATGAGAGCCGCACAGTGGCAGAAAGGCATGGAAGGATGCAGAGGCATTGATACTCAATAGGGTGCTTAGCTTAGCATGGTGTAATCTGTCTATACGGTCAGCTGCGAGAGAGGAGGAGGACGCGCAGAAGGAAAGACCATTTAAAACAGCAGTCTATATAGAGGATAGCATGTGAAAATGCGGAGGCGCCATGTACTGACTCACCACACCCAGCTCATCGGGGTACACCCCTCGGAACGGCATCTGCCAATGCCGGCCGATCTTCGCTCGAAAGGAGACCTGCAGGCAGAAACGCACCCCACGCACATGCAGAGAAGCACCGACATCTGCAGTCAGACAAGCACTCAAACCACAGGCCAGCAGCTCTCTGCCTCACATAAGATTTTGATAAGGCAACGCCCTCCCAAGCCCAACGTAGCAAGATGGACCTAGCAGTACATTCTAGGCAGAGCTCACCTTCCCAGCGGGCACGCTGAAATCACCTGTGAGCTTCACCCCCTCCACATACTCAAACGGCGAAACCATCCCAGAGGAGAGACCGCAGGGAGAGCTCACCTTCCCTGCATGAGTAACCCAAGGAGGACCTCTCACCTTCCCAGCGGGCACATTGAAGTCGCCTGTGAGCTTCACCCCCTCCACATACTCAAACGGCGGCACCAACGCCCGCTCGCCCTGCCCCTTCCTCCTCCCAGACACCTTCCCTGCCTCCCCGGTCTCGCTCTCCTGCTCTTCCCCCTCCTCCCAGGTGCCGAACCTGCGCCGGACCTGAATAGCCTCGGAAGTATACGGGCCATACGCACCCACATACAAACCTGAGCAGGTTGGTGGGGAAAGGGGAGAGTAAATCAGTGGTAAGGCGTGGTGGTGGTGTACAAACCCAAACGCAACCAACCGATGAAGAAGCAGGAGAGCGTTACAGAAGAAGGGCAGGAGAGCATTTGAGGCCCAGCAAAAGAACCAGCACAGAAAGCTGCACGTACCAGCAAAGGGGTCGGTGGAGGCATCAGCAGCATGGATGCGAGTGAAGGCGGTGGTGCGCGGCAGTGTGTAGCGCCTCCTCTGCACGTGCTGCACTGCCGTGCGGATCAGCTGCGCCACGTCCTTGTCCTTGAACACCTCCTGCGGATGGGGCATGATAGGGCATGGATCGGGCAGGTTAAGGGGACAACGTACAGGGATGCATAGGGTGTGGACAAGGGCCGGATGGTGCAGGCAGAGGCATGGATACGGCATGGAAAGGACAAGTTCCAAATGGTGCAAAGACGGACCTCCCAGGGCTCGGGACCAGAAGGAATAAGCGCAGTTAGACGATTCACAGATGGTGGGAAGATGGAGGAGTGTAGGAGCAAGGAAGGAGGTGCAGTAGAGGGGTCTCACAGGCCTGAAGGGGCTAACGGGTCCTGAGAAGCGGTCAACGCCCCACAGCTGCTTTGCCACGTCCTCCGGCATTTGAGTTGACAGGAAAGGTGACTTGTGAGTCGAGTCAGAAGGAGGAGCAGGAGCGACATCTTACAGGTGGGAAGGGCTTACGGGTCCTGAGAAGCGGTCGACGCCCCACAGCTGCTTGGCCACGTCCTCCGGCATCAGATTCGCCGCTGCCCTCGTTGCTGCTGACGCCAGCCTCTCACTCACCGCCGTCGCCACCGCTGCTGACTGCGACGAGGAGGGGGAAGAAGAAGGGCCAGATTGGGACGCTGCTGGGTCAGTGGCAGATGCTCCCGTGCTGCCGCTGCTGCTGCTAGCAGCATCCCCGTCGCCCTCGCTGTCTTCCACTGTGAGAACAAATGCGTCCTTGCCTCGCCACTCGATCCTTGCTGGGACCTTGCTCACGCTCTCCCCCGCACCGTCCCCCGGGAACACCCCGCCCACCACCACGCGCACCGCAATGCCCTGCCGCCCCTCCGCATCCTCCGATCCGTCCTCCCCATCGCTTCGCTCTGCCCCGCCTTCTCCCTCCCCACCACCACCACCCCCGCCCTCTCTACTGCCTCTGCTAGGACCATACGAGCCTGAGAGTCCCTCCCTGTCCACCCCAACTGAGATCTCCTCCCCGCCTATTTCTCCTCTACTGCTGCTGTTGCTGCTCTCACTCTCACCGCCACTAGAGCTCCTGCTACCACCTGTGCCCTCGCCACTCATCCCGTTTCTCTCTCTAAACGCCCTCAGTCGCCGCAAGTCACGCTCTGGCAGCTGACTGGCACGCCTTGGGTCATCCGCACCACCATCCCTGCTCCCTGCTCCTGCACCCTCCGCCTGTGGGGGCTGCACTGCTGCATCTCCCACTTCCCCTACTTCACTATCACCCCCACCGGCTCCAGACGTTCCACTCCTGGGCGCCGGCACACCACTCTCCCCTTCTCCACTGTCACTTTTGTCACCTCTGCTTGGAACAACCCCTCCACTCTCATCCTTCGTACTGTCTGCTTGTAATGGCCCCTTAGCTTTCCCCACACCATCACCTGCACCGCTGTCACTTCCAGAATCCCCCTCCTTCCCTCCCTCGCCCCCTGCTGCTGATGCTGCTGCCTCCCCTGCCGCAGCAGCAGCTGCAGACTCCCGGTCCCTTGCTATTCGCTTCACCACGTCCTCTACTATTCGCGGAATGTCTGCAGTCCCCGCCGCGCCCGACCCGTCCGGTGCTGCCACGTCAGCAGGGGACACCACCGGGAAGACCCGCAGCTTCACGTCTGGTAACCGCTCTCGGAAGAAATCAAGCACCCGCGATAAGCTATCATCGGCGCCGGGTGGGAGAGACGAGGCGGGAGAGGAGGCAGAGGAAGGGGAGGAGGGAGGGGAGGAGGCAGCGGAGGGAGAGGGAGGAGGGGTGGGTGGGACTGGTGAAGGTGACGCCTGGCCTGAGGCTGGATCTGGTGGGGACTGAGATGCACTGCTGCCACCCTTCTCTCCTGCCCCTGCCCTTGCTCCTGCATCGCCCGCCTTACCATCATCTGCTGCTTGCTTCTTCCCCCAGCTGAACGAGACGGCATCCTGAACCCGTTGCACGCTGGATGATGGCGTGGATGATGGGGCAGACGTGGATGCTGCCAATGATGATGGGGATGAAGTTGGGGGAGCAGCATCGGTGCCACTGCTGCTGGTTGAGGGGGAGGTGCTTGGCGCAGGGCTTGTGGTGGCGGTGGAAGCGCCCTTGGCCTGCAGGGTGGCTGTCTCATGGTGCAGGTACACCACCTGCACGCACAGGCGTTGGAGCAGGGGCGAGGGAAGGAGGCAGGTGGATGAAACGAAACGACACAGTCATGCGGAAAGTGGCGGTTCATGAGCATCCCAGTGGCAATCGTTGGCTGGCAGCAGCAAGTCTGGCGCACAGAGCGGATTAAGAATGCACATTCCCGGGGTGCGAAAGGCACTTGTGCAGGTCGCTGACACAGCATAGTTCCCACCTGGCGGTCGTATCGCTTGGGGTTGGCGGCGTTGCGAGCCACATAGACCTCGAAGATGGGAATGCCCTGCCCTGCCACGGACAGCTGCCTGCCCGCATCACACGCACACAACCACACACGCGAACAACCACACACGCACACAACCACACACGCGAACAACCACACACGCACACAACCACACACGCACACAACCACACGCGCACACAACCACACACGCACACAACCACACACGCACACAACCACACACGCGAACAACCACACACGCACACAACCACACACGCACACAACCACACACGCGAAGAAGTTGAAAAAGGAATCCATTGAACCAGCGGATGTGAGCATCAGCAGGTGGGAGTAAGAGTATTGCAGACCAGCGAATGTGAGCTCTTAGTCCCACCAGCTACCAAGAACAGGTCTACGAGCCCATCTGCTGACGCTCATCCCTCTTGACTTTGGCAGAATCATGCCTGACCTGGGCGCAGCCATGGGTAGCGGCTCACTTTGCAGTGAAGGACTTGGCGAGCAGCTCGCCATGCTGCTTCTGAGGTGCCGCCTCAAAGGTCGGAAACATGACTGGCAGCTTTTGAGGCGCCTAAAAAGTTGGAACCGTGGCTGGCAAGGCATGGCGGCTTACTTGGCAGTGTAGGACTTGGCGAGCAGCTTGCCATGCTGCTGTGACACGTGCACGAGTCGCCCAAAGGGGTCCGCTGCCCCACTCTCGTCCAGCCCTGCCCACCACCCCACCTGCACACACGCACATGTAGGGATGAGCACACCACGTGACGCCATCACGCCATCTTGCATCCGATGCCTTTCAAAGAGTCTACAAGCGGCGACACAAACCAAAGATACTGCTTGACCTCACTCCAAAATCCTTGCGCTGATAACAGACCAACCTGGGCTCCCCCCTCCCCTCAAGACGCGTGCTGCTCGCACTCACCAGGCCAGCGCCAGCATCATCGCGCAGGTGTTTGGCATCGCTGTACCTCTCCTCCTCCACCGCCGCCTGCTTGCCGGGCACAGAGGGCGTGAGAGAGCAGCGAGGTCAGAGGGGAACCGGGCACCAGACAGCGAGGAAGAGAGTGGAGCAAGGGAAAAGGCACCGGATAGCGGGACAGCAAGGTCGGCAAGAAAAGAGCGAACCTTGAGCTCCGTGAAAACAGCAGCCATGGCGTCTTGGTCCTCCAGCGCGCGGATGGCTGCCTGCAGCTTGGCGGCTGCCGTGAAGTCCTCATCTCCCACCAGGTCGTCCAGCTGGATCTGACAGAGAGAGAGACGTAGATGGCAGAAGGACGCAGGTGAGTGAATGAGGAAGAGCATGAGAAAAGGTATTCTTGAGTCGATTCAAATGCTGCCGTGAAGTCCTCATCGCCCACAGGTCGTCCAGTTGAAACTGGGGAGAGAGAGGCACGCAGATAGCAGAGATCAACAGGTGAGTGAGTCCATGACAGTGAGCAGGAGAGGAGGAGAGGAGGAGAGGAGCAGGAAAGGGAGGGGTGCAAGAATGGAGTTTCAGGAGAGCAGGAGAGCAGGTGAGAATAATGAGATAATGAAAAGCATGTTGTCAATAGCGGATTCCCAGCGATCTCAATGTCCCCACCTGCAGGCTCGTCAGCATGGCCTCTCGCTCCTCCTCCTCGCCAAACACCCGCTCCCACCGCTGCCACGCCGTCTCCCCGCTCCCATCCTCCCCCTCCGCCTCCTCACCCCTCAGTCCAACCCCGTCCTGACCAATCCCCGCTCCACCCCCGACCAGGCTCGTCTTATCGAAGTAGTCTTGCAGCCGTTGGGCTGCCACGGCCACCATTCCCTTGAACGGATCGTTTCCGGAATTCGCGGCAGCTGCTGCTTCCTCTATCCGTCGCAACCGCTCCGTGGCTCGGTCTGACAAGCTGCTGGGCCGCGAGGATGGCTCGTCAGGCTCATCCGACAAATTCGCCTTGGGTACAGGCTGCTGCTTAGGGACATCTTTTCTCACGGAGTCATCCCTGTAATCGCTCGGATTAGAAAGCTTGCTGATTGGCGACTCTGGCGATTTCGCTTGTGTTTCGCCAAGCTTGTCATTTGAAAATGCGTCATCAGGGTTTTGAGAGGAGTCGGAGGGGGAATCGGATGGGTCGAGCTTGGACGAGCAACGAGCAGGCGGCGCTGAAGCGTCCTTCTGAATTGGCCCTATCTGACCGAAACGCGTTCGTGACCGCCGTGAAAGGAATTCTGTGCATAATGACTGACGGTGAGGGTGCGACGCTAGGAGCGAGCCTTGGCTCCTTGGAAGGCCTGATGGACGAATAGACAGCAGTGGTGTTCCAAACGACCATGTCCGAAATGGCTGTGAGAGTGAGGTAGGGCGGGGTTCACGCCAAAGTGCTAGCTTCCGAGGCCCAAGAAGCAGGGGAGCGTCCAGCGTAAGCATGGCGGAGTCGTAAGCAGCAGCGGCTGTCCTAACGCCGATGGAGCATATGGCGATAAGTTCGCGTAACTAATCTAGAGTGTGAGGCGAAGTATCTGGACGATATGCAAGAGAAATGTCAGGCAGCAGGACACTAGTGATATTCTGCTGAATACGGTATTCAGTTCATGCTGGGGGTGGTGGGCCTCCGGTAGAGTTGCGACACGTGCTATGGTAACCGTTTCGCTGACAAGACGCAACTGCGTCGCAAATTCCTGCCTTGGGGAGTGACCACGCCGAACGGGCAACTGGAACCGTTAGCGAATTCCTGTAACCTGCCCAGGGGCTTCTAGATTTTTACTGGTTGAGGCTCGGCTCAGCTGAGCAAGCTGGCTCGGAGGTGGCTCGCAGTTTCGGAAGCACCAATCAAGCCAGGTCAGCCTGCTCTGGCTCCAAAGTTGTGAAGCTGCCCAAGCAGAAACGAAGCCAGTGTTCGACGGCCACGTCTTCTTGACCAATAACAATCTCCCGGAGCACCTGCTCACCAGGCGAACATACCTGGTAGTTTGGTTCGGAGAGCCTTGAATCACACTCGCTCCACCTGTATTCCCCGCCACGCCAATTGGTCTCGCCCAACCTTTCCACTTTGGAAGTATATTCTCATTCTGCCATGGCGGCTGTTTTGGAATTTGCTTCCTTCATGATCCTGCGACTTCATTTCACCTCCCAGGATTTCTCGAGCTTGAGTTAGCATTTGACAGAATCGCCTTCTCATTCTCGTGAAACGCCATGTTCTCCATTTTTGCTTCCCGAGTCGCCAATTCCCGGCTTCATTCTCTAACCTCAACTCACTCCTCACGTTCACATGAACCGATCAAAAGCACATCCCACAGCTTTCCGCCGCCATGCAAACAACCATCTTCCAACCCCGCGCGACCTCCTCGCCGCAGCTGCGCCGCTGCAGCAGCAGATAGCCAGGCGAGTGAGGCGGAAGTGACGGAGATCAACGTGTGCGTGGGGAAGAGCTGTCGCAAGGACGGCGGGTTGCAGACGCTGGACCATTTCCGCGGCCTGGCGCCGCCGCACGTGAATGTTGATTCATGTGGATGCCTGGGTGAGATGACAGTTTGTTTCGTGGCGTATGACGCATGGCGTGAAGGAGATGTCTGGATACGGATGAAGCAGCAAAAACGGCTGTTCTCCAATTTACTTACTTCTCTCCAATTTATCGGCTGTTCTTCACGGTCCGGCAACGATGGCTGGCACCGCTGTGTTCTTGACCCCTCGGTGCAACCACAGGACGGTGCGGAGCAGGCCCGAATCTGGTGCTGCTGCCGTCGCAGACGATCATCCGCCACTGCAGCACGGCGGCACACGCGGCGCGGCTGCTGGAGAGGCAGTGCGCGGGGGGCAGCGCGGAGACGAATCTTGCGGCCCTGGAGCTGAAGGGCCGCGGCAATGCAGCCTTTGAGAAGGGGCGAGCGGATGAGGCTGAGAAGCTCTTCACTCAGGTGATTGCACTGGAACGTGGAAAAGGGGCGTGGGGGAAGGTGGAGAGGAGGATCGGAGTTGGGATCTATGAAGATGTTGCCATTGTTGCTGATTCTTCTTCCTCATCGCGTTTGGCCTCTCCCACCCTCATCCCACACAGGCCATTGAGTTGTCGCCTGTTGGGGGAATACACAACCTGCTCTGCAACAGGTGAGCAGCACAATGCTGGCCTGAGACACTCCTGTCTGCAAGGTAGACCCTTTTCAGCTCTAGTCCTGGTTTGTGGTATCTTGCGTGCGCCATGTAATTCAACCTGAAAACCCCTTTCTGTGCAATGTATGACTGCATGTGCTTTACCCCCATGTAAGTGAAGGTCTGCTGCAAGGGTGGCATGTGGTAACCCTATGGGAGCGCTGGAAGACGCTGAAGCTGCGGCAGCACTCAAGCCTGGTTGGTCCTCGGTAAGCAATGCCTGCCTTACCCTTACTTCCCATGCCTGAACGCAATAAGGCTCCTGTGCCACCCACCTGTGCCACCCACTAAAGCCTTTTCTTCCTCAGTGTGTACCATTCTCCTTCTCGGTTTGCTTGTTATTCCCTATCCCCTTCCTGTTTCCCCGTCACCTTTGTTCTCCAATCCCTCAGGCGGTGATTCGAAGAGGAGAGGCGCTGGCAGCACTGGGGCGGGTGAGGGAGGCACTGGAGGTATATGAGAGGCTAGCCGACACAGATGCTGAATTCAGACGCTCAAAACAGTACCTCGTAAGTTGGCCACACCATTGCGCCAGCGCAACAGGATTTTCTTTGTGAACATATTTCAACACTCTGATTCCTGTGTTCCGTGATTGTGTGCAGCGGAAAGTGAAGGAACTGGAGAACCAGATGGAAACAGCAGCATGATTTACTGGTACCTTGCATGGTGAAGTCAAGTGGCTGCAGCAACACATGCCTCATTACGGCAAAAGCCTGCAACTATACTGAGGGTTTCTGGTACTGTGACATGCACGGACATACTGGTAGATTAGGTAGTATCAGATGTAGCAACTCGCGGAGTCAATATACGCCAGCGTAACGTGCACCACTTGCTCAGCATATCATCCTTCTGAGGTACCATCTTCACAGAATGACTGAAGGTACCATGTACACTGCACTGGTTGTGTATAGAAAAAAGATATCAGGGCGATGGATGACCTGGAAAACAAATGTGGTCCATGCAACATGTATACAGAACCTGCTAATAATTAGATAACATACCAGCATAGCGCTAGCCACAGCATATCCCTGTTCTGTGCCTTTCCCCACCCCCATCTCTAGCACACCCCGTTGGTCTTGGCAATGCTGTTCTTCTTGAACACCCTGAAGGTGCGCTGGCGCAGTGCGGACGAGTCCATAGAGTGGCTGTGCTCCAGCTTACTGGGGGGCATCAGCCGCGTGCCTGCCAGTGGCGACAGCACATAGAACTCATCTGCTGCCAGGTCACGTGCCAGCTTGGATCCAGGCTTGGGAACCTCTACTGTAATGGGCTTATGTTCGGGCACCGAGGCAACCGCAGCAGCAGCAGCCTCAGCAGTGGATTTGGTGCGGGGCATACCCACGCCCCTGTCCTCCAACATCTTCACTGTCATGCGCAGGTCGTTCAGGAAGCGGTCGGCGAGCGAGCGGGAGAAGTCCTCTCGGACGAGAGCGCGCAACATAGTGACATGCTCAAGATCAGGTGCCATGGTGTAGGCGGGGATGATCCACCCGAACTGCTTGAGGACATCAGCAATGTCATACTCGTTGAAATTGCTGTTCTTCTCCTTGAGAGCGAACGTGACCAGGGGCACACCCACGTCTTTGGAGAGGATCTCAAAGCACCCCATGTCTTCTATGGCCTTCTTTAGGTACATGGCGTTCGTCTGGCAGTTGCCTATGATCTTGCGGTAGCCCTGTGCGTGGCAGCGGGGTTTGGGGGGTGTTGGGAGGTGTGGGAAATGGGACGGATGGGAAGGATAGGGAAAGGATGTTAAGGGGTAGGGGTGGGAAGGGCTAGAGCGAGAAGACAAGGTGCGGGGGACAGACAAGCCAACACGACGGGTTCCTTATAACTAGCCCACTGCTAAAACTAGGAGTGTTTGCCGGAGTTTCTTACATTCAAACGATCGATCAGAGCTCACCTCAAAGCCAAGGCGGACGAACTGGTAGTACTGTGCGATCAGCTGGCTGGAGCCTGCATTAGGAAATGCGAGTGTGCAAGAGTGAAATGCGTGTTTGATTCACGTGGGATCATGGATGCGTGGTAGGAAATACGAAGAGAGGGAAAAACTGTAATCTGGAACGGTACATTTTTCATCTAGTTGGTTCTGTGGGATGATATTGCTGCTCACCCCAGACCATTTCCCCCCTTATTCCCGAATGTTCCCCACTTAACATCCGATTCCCCACCGATCACCCTATATCAGCGCACCTTTGGAGAAGTTGAGCGTGAAGGTGGGTTGGTCCGCGCCCAGGTAGTTGACGTGGAAGATGAGGTCCTCGGGGAGGTCGGCCTTGCTGCGCCACACCACCCACCCCACGCCGGGGTACACGAGCCCGTACTTGTGCCCGCTCACGTTGATGGACCGCACCGTCGGCAGCCGGAAGTCCCACTCCAGCTCCGGCCACAGGAACGGCGCCACGAACCCCCCGCTCGCCGCGTCCACGTGGATCGGCGTGTCCCACCTGCAATGCAGTGGAAGGGGATGCGGGGGAGGGAGAAGGGGGACACGGGGAGGCAGGAGTGTGGGGAAGAAGAGGGGAAAAGACTTGAAGTAAGGGAAGATGGCAAGCAAGTGATACACTTACGTTTTTCCGGTATAGAACGAGTATCAATCATTTCGATAATGCTGCTTACCCCGTCTTGGCATTCTTCTCCATGAGAAGGTCGTTCAGGAGCTTGATGTCCTCAAATTCCCCGTTATAGGTAGATCCGAGAATGCCACAGATGCAGATGGTGTTTTCGTCGACAGCCTCCACGGCATCGTGCGGGTCCATCACGAACGACCCTTCCTTCACATTCACAAACTTGGTCTCCACCTCGAAGTAGTTGGAAAACTTCTCCCAGCACACCTGATTTCGGAAAGAATCAACCGGCAAATGCGAAACGTCAGTTTGTATAGGAGTGTAAAAGACGACGAAACGTCACTTTCAAGCGATTTGCGAACGGGGGGGAAAAAAAACCAACAACAGCAACAACAACTTTGTAAGCAATGTAGGTTACCTGGACTTCAGAGCCGCAGACGAAGTTCGGCTTATCGTACGGTTTCCCTTGCGCCTTGCGCTTCTCCTGCCACTTGCGCTTGAATGCGAGTCCCGCCAGCATGATTGCTTCCGACGACCCCACGCATCCCGCGCCGATGGCTCCCTCCCCGTCTCCCAGAGGTGCATTGAACAGATTCGCAATAATGTTAACGCAGCGCTCCTGCATTCAAGGAAAAAACATCATCTAAACAGTGTCTAGCCGACATTGTATAACAATAAAGAAGCAGACTTTCCAGACATTTGACGAGAACCCGAACCTGGAGTTCGTTGGTGACAGGGTACTCCTCGATGTTGATGTAGTTCTTGTTAAGCGACTCCATAATGAGCTGGTCGCACTCGGGCTCCATCCAGGTCGTCACGAACGACGCCAGGTTGAGTCGCGGGTTGCAATCCAGCAGGAGCTCGTCGTGAATCATCTGATACGCAGCCTCTTTAGGAATACCTTCCTTGGGAATCTGGTACCTGCAGGATTGCAAAATGCGGGTTTTTTAGCAGTTGGTTTAGAATAAGAGAGAACGTCTCGTATATTTTGACTACGGTGGTCTCGCAATGTGAAAGATAGAAAGTGACATTCCGCATTTTCCAGTAAAAATGGTTCGCGGATGCAGGAAGAATGAGAAACTTACTTGGGAACGCTAGCAGACGTGTAACGCGAGGCGAAGACCGACTCGACGACATGGTCCTCGCCAGCACCAGCCGTTGTGTGAAGCATGGCTGCAGACGATCAGGACACGCTCCTTACAGGAACGAGGCTCGGATTGACAGCTCGAACTAGGAAGCCAATGCCGTGAAATATACAGCAGAGAGTTTTTTGTACACACGAGTAAGGTGAACGCGTGCCTTGAAATGCAAGCTCTTCACAGAATCAAGAAAATGGCTTCACTACACAAACTGATTTTTCAATCCTCCCTGCTTGAATTTGATGGCAGGATGATTGGAATCTGAAATTTGGTTGGGGACGGCGGGGTGGAGCAAAATGCTGGTTCAACATGTTGACTGGTTCGGCAGCACCGAGGCCTAGGTTTGGAACTTCACTTTTTGCTGGTATTTAGCTTTGATGACTTGGTCGAGATTCACCACAGGCTCGGCACAGCTGACACACCCCCGAAGCTCGACAAACTGCCCAACCAGATGTGGGTTTCATTGGGCCACGCTGTATGGCCCGATGAAAAAGGGCAGAAAGACAACCTCTGCACGCAGGAAAAACAACGCTTGCGGAGCCAAGTTGCCACTGAACAAAGCAGATTCAAAGCCTGCCCTCAAAAATCAGACAGGCTGAGCTGGCATTCGGTGTGCTGAAAAGTTATGATTGGTGGGCTGGTTAGTCTGGGAAGCGGGAAACACGAATACAGAACAGATTTTTCTCTGAACACATGGCCCAGTGACCAGCATACACCCAGTATGGGGATGCTCAGTGTATGCACAAAAAAGGAAGTATGGGGATGCTCAGTGATTAAGGAAACCAGTAAACTAGTGTCTCGTTCATACAAGAACTTAATTTCATGTATAAGACAATTTCAGATATACCACAATTTCATGCACAATATGGGTAACACAGACGCAATGCATCAGCCACAGCAGTTCCATGCTCTCCTATAATTGGTGCTTCTAGCACACCCCGTTGGTCTTGGCAATGCTGTTCTTCTTGAACACCCTGAAGGTGCGCTGGCGCAGCGCGGATGTGTCCATAGAGTGGCTGAACTCCAGCTTACTGGGCGGCATCAGCCGTGTGCCCGCCAGCGGCGACAGCACATCCACCTCGTCCGCATCCAGGTTCCGTGAGAGCCTGGACTTAGGCTTGGGGGCTTCCGCTGCCACAGGCGCCTCCTCAGGAACGGAGGAAACTGCAGGAGCAGCAGCAGCGGGGGCTGCGGGAGTAACAGTGCGCGGAACGGTGGCGGCCCGGTCCTCCAGCATCTTCACTGTCATGCGCAGGTCGTTCAGGAAGCGGTCGGCAAGGGAACGAGAGAAGTCCTCTCGGACAAGGGCGCGCAGCATGGTGACGTGCTCGAGGTCAGGGGCCATGGTGTAGGCGGGGATGATCCACCCGAACTGCTTGAGCATGTCAGCAATGTCGTACTCGTTGAAGGAGCCATCCTTCTCCTTGAGTGCAAAGGTGACGAGCGGCACACCCACGTCCTTGGAAAGGATGTCAAAGCACCCCATGTCCTCTATGGCCTTCTTGAGGTACTGGGCGTTCGTGTGGCAGTTGCCTATGATCTTGCGGTAGCCCTGTTGCAAGTATGGTTGGAGGAGGTGCACGGAAAACGGGGGTTGGAGGGGTAGGGGACAGGTTATCCAGGCACTAGAGAGGGCTACAGGGAGAAGAGAGGAAGGGGACAGGACAATGACTAAATAAGAAACAGCCCAACAATGCTGGCTCCAACAAAGGTGGAAGCAGATCTCACCTCAAAGCCGAGGCGGACGAACTGATAGTACTGCGCGATCAGCTGGCTGGAGCCTGCAGCAGAAAATGGGGTGGTGCCACAAGACGAAAGGAGGGTTACTACGAGTGAAATGTTCGTTTCATACGAAGATGCTGATAGCCATGCAGAAGGTGGGAAATTCGAGAAGCAGGGGGCTGTGACCAGGAGCTGAATCTATCAGCAAGTCCACTCATAGAAATGAAATTGCAAGTCCCAGCCTGAGGTCTGTTGGTTGGGAGCCTGGGACGCAGACCGACCACATTCAGTATCCCCATCGACCCCAGCCCATAAGAATCCACCATGACAGCACCTAAGCGCACCTTTGGAGAAGTTGAGCGTGAAGGTGGGCTGGTCCGCGCCCAGGTAGTTGACGTGGAAGATGAGGTCCTCGGGGAGGTCGGCCTTGCTGCGCCACACCACCCACCCCACGCCGGGGTACACGAGCCCGTACTTGTGCCCGCTCACGTTGATGGACCGCACCGTCGGCAGCCGGAAGTCCCACTCCAGCTCCGGCCACAGGAACGGCGCCACGAACCCCCCGCTCGCCGCGTCCACGTGGATCGGCGTGTCCCACCCGGTCTTGGCGTTTTTCTCCACGAGCAAATCGTTCAGAAGCTTGATGTCCTCAAATTCCCCGTTATAGGTAGACCCGAGAATGCCACAGATGCAGATGGTGTTTTCGTCGACAGCCGCCACGGCGTCGTGCGGGTCCATCACGAACGACCCTTCCTTCACATTCACAAACTTGGTCTCCACCTCAAAGTAGTTGGAAAACTTCTCCCAGCACACCTAAATTTGGATACACGGACAAATTAGAGTTCGCTTATTGCTCAATTTTGCAACTGTCAACGTGGAATTAATTAGAAAAAGCCAACTGAAACGTATAAGCAGGGTAGATTACCTGGACTTCGGAACCGCAGATGAAGTTGGGCTTATCGTACGGTAGCCCCTGCGCCTTGCGCTTCTCCTGCCACTTGCGCTTGAACGCGAGTCCCGCAAGCATGATTGCTTCCGATGATCCCACGCACCCCGCGCCAATTGCGCCTTCCCCGTCCCCGAGAGGAGCGTTGTAAAGATTTGCAATGATGTTCACGCAGCGCTCCTGCATGCGAGAACAACAATCAAGAGCACAACGGTAAGAAAACTTTGAGCAAAATTTTGACCGAGACACGAAATTTTGAGCCTTTTGGCTAAAATTGCGAACCTGGAGCTCGTTGGTAACCGGGTATTCTTCGATGTTGATGTAATTCTTATTGAGCGACTCCATGACGAGCTGGTCGCACTCGGGCTCCATCCACGTGGTCACGAACGACGCCAGGTTGAGCCGCGGATTGCAATCCAGCAGCAGCTCGTCGTGAATCATCTGATACGCAGCCTCCTTGGGAATACCCTCCTTAGGAATGTGGTACCTGCAAGAGTGGAAATTGCAATTACGAAGTATAATGTTAGAACTGGAATCCAAAAGCGACAGTTAGGAAGTTCTTGTACCCCGCTTTGGCGAGTGTGGAAGTCGGAGTGTGAATTTGCTGGCGTCCATACGTGCACGTCGGGGAAAGAAGAAATATTTACTTGGGAACACTTGCAGAAGTGTAACGCGACGCGAAGACGGACTCGACGACATGGTCGTCATCATCAGCACCAACACCAGCAGTGGTATGAAGCATGGTTGCTGACGATCAAGACGCAATTCTTGCAGGAATGAAGGTCGGAGAAGCAGCCTGCAGCGGGAAGCCTGTGTGCTAAGCAACGGCAGTGCAGCTTCACAGCTGAAGAAAATGTTGTTGCTTGAAATGTGAGCTCTTGGCTCCCATCTCAGCAGGTTACATATAATTGTCGCGATGGGGATGGCGGCTTCTCTGATGTCAAATTCCCACAGATTGCCACAGGGAGATGGTTTGGCATGGAACTGTGGGCCAGAGATGAAAAACAGCCCAATCAGGCTCGTTAGGCAACATCCACGCTGCACGGCCTTGGTCTGGTTGGTAGAATTCGGTTCGGGTGACCCGGCTTGAGAACAGCAGGCTCGGCAGTCGCGAACGGTCAATAACGTGTATGGATATTCCCTCCTCACTAGGAGGCTGATCTGGCATGATGCTTTTTTGCGCGTTTTGCGTAAAGACGTTCACTTTCCCGCGGTCAAGAGTATGGAAAGAGAAAACGTCCAGCACAGCAGCACAGGATAAAGCTGTGCGATCAAGCCATCACACCAATCCAGTCCACCTTGCTGCCGCGGAATGCTCCGCTACAGACTGATGAAGTAGCCCTCAGGCAGGGATAATGAGCCATGTTCATGCGAATGTTAAGTGCTTAAGATATGGAGAAAGAAGTTTCAAACAAAAGCTGCACATTTCACAACCCCAATGGACTGATGTTGCACGCATAATCTGGAAATCGTTGCTGAAAATTGCAGGGTAACTACAAACATTGACTGCTTAGCATACTCCTTATTGACAATGTGAACATAGCCACACACGGCAAGAACAAGTGTCGATAGCAGAAATTGCACAGAAGCAACCTAGGGGTCTTTATGGCAATACCACCACCATAAACGGGTGTCCCATACCACAACCTGTCACCAGCCTCTGAGCATTCTCTTGGGCTTCCTCTGTTGAACTCTTAGAAGACTCCTTCTGTGAGCCACGCTTGCTCGAATTCTTGCCGCCAGCTTCCTTCGCTGGAACTTTGCTTCTGCTGTCCTTGGCAACCGCAGACTGGCCTGTCTTGGCTCCAGCTTCACAACCACTGGCATCAGCACTCCACGCAACACGGTAACTCCAGAAATTGTACACACCAGGAGAAAACACCATTGCTGTGAGCTTCACAGAAGTTTCCTCTCCTGGAGCGAGCTTGGGAATCTGCATGGCCGTCTGGCCTGCCCACATGTATGGTCCACACGCTGCTGTGCCGCATGCCACCTCATCACCACCCAGCACACCACCTCCACCTGAGAAACCTCCTGCAAAGCTTCTAGGACTCGCTGCTGTGCCGCTGTCTTGGCCATCCAGGTTGTTGGGGCAGTAAAAGCCAGATTTTTCAGGCAGATTTGAACCAAGTGTGGATGCATTGACATTCTTTTCCACTGCAGGCAGCAGTGCAGGGTCGAACGTGTGGACAGCAGCGGAGGCAGGGGAAGAGGAGCAGTTTCGGAGGAGGAGGGTGAGAGACACGGGGCAGGTGGGATTGGAAGAGAAGTTGTGCTGGAGATAGGAAGGCCCGTCCATTCTCCACCGCACAGCAGCAGATGCAGCAGAACCAGCATTGGTGGCAGACGCAGTGTCTGCCGCTGAGCTGCCCCCTGCAGTAGCTGCTGCTCCTGTTGCAGCCCCGCTACTTGTTCCCCCTCCTCCGACACTTGTGCTAGCACTTGCAGTAGCAGCAGCAGCAACAGAGGAGACTCCGAAAGCTGGGCCGACCTGACAGTTACAGATATGATGTGTCCCTATGCACACTCCATTCCCATTCTTGTCACTCAAGTTCGTATCCTCTTCAATAGATGTTGTCTTGCTGCTGCTCCTTATCGCACTTCCAGGTAGAACCAGTGAAGGCACATCTGACCCAGATGCTGAACCACCAATTGCACCAGCACCAGCAGCCCTGCCATCACTCCCATTCCCTGACCCCTGCTCCTGATACTCCCACACAAGTACCACATCCAGTAGGTCACCCCCTTGGCCACGCACACCACCCCCTCCCCCTGTGCCTCCCCCCCCCCCACTGCCTGAGCGCCAAACAGGTCGTGAGCCAATCACAGGGCTCCCTGTCCCCCCCGCCGCCCCTCCTCCGGGGGGAGTGGGCCAGGAAGGTGGGCGGCTGGGGTTGAGATGGCCGCGGGGGGAGAGAGGAACGGAGATGGCGCGAGCGGTGTTGAAGCGGGAGTGGTGCAGAGAGATGTGCAGTGGTTGCTTTGGGGGAGGGGCGTCAGGGTTGGTGATGGGGTCTGGGGGAGGGAAAGCCTGGGAATAGTAAGACAGAGGGGTGGCAGGAGGGGAAAGAGGGGAAAAGTTATGTAATCAGTACTGTGAGAATGTAGCACCACCCAAGCATTGTACAAGGGTAACTGACAGTTCGCCTTAGAAACTGTGAATTGCTCAATGCAGGTGATATTGTGAATGCACGTGCGTTTATGATGAAAGCGTATCGCTCAACCGCTTCCAGATTCACCAGCTTGACCCAACTTGCAAAATAAAACTCCTCAAAGTAGGTGCGGGGCATGCAGAACATAGAGAGTGTCTTTGCATGGGATCAGCGAGATTCATGTGTGGCAGCACACAGGTGTGAAACATTTACCTGGAAGCCACGTTCCCGGAGGTGCAGGGCATGCAGTGGGTGTCTCCCAATGTCGATAAGAGGCGCTGCCTGTCCCCCCAGCCGCACATCGCTCTTGAAGCTCTCCCTCTCCACACGCTCATTCCCGAGTGACGACGCAAAGTCCTGTGATGGATAGAAGGAGGAATGGCAGCTTCAAGGTTAGTGAAGATTAAATGGTCGCTGCAGGTATGAATGTGAGGACATTACTGCCTGCGCAGTCTTGAGCTGCTGCTGAAGCTGTCTCAATATGCCACCCTCTCCAAGCACTGAAAACGCCATGGAAGGCACTGCAGTGAGGAGAAGCTTTCTTGAGAGAGATATGCATGTGGCTAGGACGAACCTGAATGTGGAAGAAAAGTGAGGTGCCCTGGCCAGGAGGTAGGACTTGCGGTGCAGCCAGTGCAGCAGAGAGCAACGCCCCACTCATCTGCTGCTCCTCATCCTCCACCACAAGCTCCTGTTGCTGCATCTGGCTGCTGTCCAGATTCGAAGAATCAGAACCGCCAGCAGCAGAAGACGAGAGAGACGGTCGCCGTGGTTGGGCGGGTTGCAGGGGAGCGAGGCGCCAGTGGGTGCCAGGGCAGGAGACCTGGCGCAGCCAGAAGGTGCGGCTGTGGTTGTGATTCTCCACGTCCATGCGGAGCAGGTAGCATGCGATGTCCGAGTTGCTGGGAGCGATGCGCAGTGACACGTGCAGCGATGGGTGGATCTGTAGGATTGAGGTTGGAGAAAGAGAGGGACAAGCAGAAAGGGGGTTGAGAGAAGAATGAGCTGTCAATGCATATAAAAGAAGTCAGAGTGCAATGCACCGGTACGCAATGATGGGTTGGATGGGCATATATGGGCTGGATCAGTAGGATATGCAAGAGGTAGGGCAGGGAGAAGAGAGGCAGCTGGAGAAGAAAATCAGAGTAATTCAATTACCGTGATAGTTTGTCGCAGACGCAAGGTGCGAAAGGTCATGGGGGCGTGCGAGGAGAGGTGAGACGGATGATGCTGTGATTGTCGATGGTGTGAGTGATGCCCATGCCCATGCCCATGGCCGTGGGACTGATGGGAGTGGTGGTGCGTGGGGAGAGGAGGGGGGAATGACCCTCCCTCTGCTCCACCCCCAGCGCCAACGCCAGCAAGAATGCTGCCGGTGGAAGTGGCAGCAGCAGAGGCAGTTCCAGCACCACCACTGGCGTGGGCCGGTTCGAAGAAGACAACAAGGCCGAGGTCCAGAGAGGTTGTATCAAGAGGGTGCAGCCAGAGGGGCCACACCAGCGATGCGCCTCCTTCCAGGATGAACCGCTGCCATGGGGTTAAGGAGGAGGGAAGGGAGAAGGATACGGGTGGGGTGGTGGGGGTGGAAGCATAAGGGGATTGCTTTCTGGTGCAAGTTGGAAACACGCTCTCCCACACTGCACACAATTGCACCAACTTACACTCGCCTTATCCTCACATCGCCTCCCCTCACATCGTACCCCCATCACATCGGCTTCCCATCACATCGCCCCACCTCCTTGACTCCTCCGATGTCAACCTCCCCACATCGCTCCCAGCTAAACACAGGAAAATTAGTGATGAGTTTGGAGAAGTGAAAAAACATAAGAGAGTTGTGCATCAAGAGTGAACAGACGGGAGCGTACAGAAGGGAAGGAGAAGATGAAGCCATTCTTCATGCTGCCGTGATCTCCCTGCGGGTCTGTCACGCTCCGACTGCGCTCCACAGGCAACCCTCCCTCCGCCTCCACCACCCCACTCCCTCCTCCACCACCGCTTGTTTTTTGAGTCCCCTGGACTCCAGCTGTGCCTTCCCCCTCATCAACGTTCTGCTGCTCCAGGCATGCAGGCAGGCGGGCATTGAGGTCTGCAGGGTCGCCCAGAAGCAGGCAGGCTGGGTGGGATGTGCGCAGCTTTAGGCGCTGATAGGGTGAAATGGAAGGGGGAGGGGAGAGAGCAGGAAAGAGAAGTGGCTATTAACATTTCCCGAGGAGCAAGCAGGTGGAATGTCATAGGGAAGGAAAAGGGGGAAAGGTAAGAAGGGCGAAAGAAGATGGTGGAAGCAAGGGGTGCCTCACAGCTTGAGAAGATGGCTTGCCGAATTGCGGAACGGGAAGATGGACGAGAGCCGCCCAGCAGTCTCACCTTAAGTGGCACATGTGATGTGTTGGTGAGCTTGAGCTGCAAGCGGTACAGCTGCCCCTCCACCGCCTCCTCTGGCATACCCTCTAGCTCCGCCTGCACTCGTGGCATCTCCTGCTTGCATAGGCACGGGCATAGGCACGTGCATGGGCACAGGCATGTGCATGGGCATTGATACGAGTACGAGTATAGGAAATGGGAGTGATCATGAGTGCACACTCCGTGTATGAAGTATGGACAAAGAACTCACGCCTGCACTGGCACTTCACAAGAACAGCAGAGCAAAGCAGCAAAATCGAGCACTATTGCAGACTGTGGCATGGGACAGCGTCGCATAGCACACAGACAGGGATTTTACAGAATGTATCAGTGACTCAGCAAGACAGCACATCGCACCGGAATGACATGGAAGTGCAGGCGCTGGTGGGTGGGCAGTTGGCGTGACGGCTTGCCCTTGCGCTTGGGCGGCGCCTTGATGTCGAAGAGCGAGCGGCTGACAGCCGTGCGGCCCTCGCTGCTGATGGCCCACTCCACACCGAATATGTGCAGCACGCCCACCCGGCATGGCCGCACCTTCAGACGCACCTGGGAGTTGAATGGGTGGAAGGAGATAGATGTGGTAGGGTGTAGGGGTTTGGAGGTAGGTGTAGCATCAGCGTGTAGGAGGTAAAAGTAGGTCGACGTACAGGTGGAACAAATGGGAGGCAGACTGTTGGGGGAAAGGGTGTAAGGATGAAGGGAGGGCAAAAGAAGCTGGACAAGTAACAGGGGAACGGCAGAAGGGTATTGCATTGTGTATGAATAGAGCAATGACTGGCATGCAGGCACTTACTGTGATTCGTTCACCCGGCTTCAAGGAGAAGGCAGTCTTCTCAGCCACATATGGCTCTGCCACTCCGCTACCAGCTATAGCCGCCGCTGCACTGGCAATCTGCATGTTGCCCTCGTTGCCCTTCTCCTCCTTCCCCGCTTCTACCTTTCCTGCCTTCTTTCTCCCCCCTCCATCTGTTCCTCCAGTTAGTGCTGACTGATTAGCAGCCCCACTGCCCTGCTGCTGCAGATTGCTTCCCTCTGTTCCCTTGCCAAGAGAACGTTTCCCAGCATCCTCACTACCCCTGCCTTCGCCCTCGCCAGCCGTGGTGGTATCAGCGAGAGGGTGCAGGAAGAGGGAAGGGTCGTCTGCAGCAAGGTCGCTTTGGGATTGACTCTTTCGAGAGGCGCTGTGGTCAAAGGGAAGGGAGGGAGCCGAGATGGACGCCAGGGAAGGTGGGGTTGGAGGGGTGCAGGCAGCAAGAAAAAAGAGAGAGGGACGTGTTAGCAGGTATGGAAACGAATATGAGGAGAGCAAAAACGATGCACGAATGACGAGTAGGGAGCACCAGGAAGCAGTCTAAATGCAGGAAAAGAGTCATTGCACATCTCCCCACCTCGCATCGTCATTGCCAGAGCTCTCCCATAGTGACTCCGAGCTCTCTGCTTGATCCAGAACAGGAGAGCTTACTGCACGCACCATGCCTGAGAAACATGTGGGGTCGACACGCAAAAGGGGCAGAAGAAACGACGCAGTTGAAACAAAAAAGTGCGACTCCTGATTCAGCTACCAAGAATCATGGTAATTCAGACTCAAAGTCACCATGGTTTGACTTGGTAACATGTGGAAGAAGAAAACACGGAGGAGCTGAACAAGGAATCAGCAGCACACATATCCTGGGCTCTGTTAGACTTCGGGGGTTGAGGGGGGAGGTAGAATTTGCAGAAGCTCACCTGATCCGTCCTTTGCAACAGCATTTGGTGATGTGGGCCGGCTGTGGCTGGAGGAGCGAGCTTCAGAAGCAAGGTCACCAGCAGCAGAGGGCGACGCGGATGGCACTGCTGCAGGGGATGCGCCCAAGTGAGAGCCTGGGGAGGATGGGGCATTGGCTGCTGCAGAGCCGGTGCTAGTGCTGGTGGTGTTGGTGGTGGTGGAGGTGTCGTAGTGGTGGCAGAGCAGATGCACGCCAGATATCTGCAGCGCAATTTGCAGAGGATTCCAGAACTCCACGTCCACTCCAATCTCCTCTGGAAGGTTGATGCAAGGCACAATGGCGAAAAAAAACGAGAGGAATAGAAGAAATGTTCATGAAGATGCCTATGATTACACATACGCAGGGAGCGTTGCATATACACAGCCCCATGGTGACAGAGGTGCACGCACCTCCTGCGACACAGGTGTTGGTGGCGATGGTGTCATGCGCCCCTGCGCGTGTCTTGGACGGTGCATCCAGCCACGTGGGCACCACCATGGCTGCTGCTGGCGGTACCACCCCCTCCTCCAGCGCCGCCCAAAATGACTCTGGGAGCTCCTCCTGGTGAACGGATCAAGTCAAGAATAGGGTGCTTTGGTGTCAGTGACAGTACTGATTTAAACAGGAGGGGACACGAGGGGGTTAGCATAGGTAGGCTTGAAGCGGCCGTAGAAAGCCATGTGTGGGACTGGGTTAGGTGGTGTTGGAGAAGCAAGAAAATACTGGTGAATTAGCGGTTGAACGCGTAGCAAAACAGGGAAAGCGGCTCAATAAGGTCACCAGAAAAGGTTGGTCAAGAGTGGCCTGTAGGGGCAAATAATCTGGTTAGAGGGGTGGCAGGCAAACACTCGGAAACACCAGGACATGGAGGTATAACTTACAGCTGTGGGGGAGGCGAAGATGCGGTGGTCCTCGAAGTGGACGTACACCTTCTGTGTGTTGACATGTGGCAGAGGCAGCTCCAACGCACCCTGCTTGTCCTTTGACTGCACTGCCTGATATGGCGGAGATATATGGACACGAAAAGAGCAGGAGGATGCACGAAAGGATGAATGGTGCATAATTGGAAGATGACACAGTGGATTCTTGAATAGTACCTCCCATTCCCCCAAATCATCCGATCGCTCACTCATTCTCCCTGCCACACCTCCCTCATTTGCCCCCACATTTTTCTTCCCTAATCGTACTCCTCTTTCCCTCTCTCTCGAATGGTCCTTTCATTGATGTAGAACGTTGGGTACAGTCAAGCGGCAAATAGAGACAACATGACCTATGCAGGCTAACTATTCCCTTCCCTATCTAGCCCTCCAGTGTAGAAAAGCAGTCCCCTGGATTCAGCACCCCCTCTGGCCCTCCTACTGGCGGGTTCTCCGCCCGTGCCGCCAGATTCAGCTTCTTAAGGTAGCTGAGGGCCTGTCCTCTCTGCAGGAAGATGGACCATCTCTGCCGGAAGTGGTGCATCATCTTAGCCGACTTGTAGGAAGACGGATCTGCGTTGAAAAGCTTGCGAGCTGCCGCATCGGCCAGCAGCTTGAGGAAGGCAGGGACCTCCTCGCAAGGGCACCCGTAGGTTTCAACTGCCAGCGGGAAGAATCCCACCCATGGCAGGCGGGTCCTGTAGTGCGCTATCTTCTTGTCTGCCATTTCCCGCGCCATCCAGCCCCTCCCCTTTGTTGCATTCTCGTCGCGGCTGCTGATCGGGTCGGTTACCGTGACGTCACACAACGAAACTGCACCTGAGGTACGGTCCCGAATCGCTAGGTCAGCCTTTTGCTTGTCTACCGGGCAGAACGCTGTCGTTTCCTTGTGCACGGTGAAGCCCGCGTCTTGCGCCATACGTATACACTCATCCCGCACTCCGTTGTGTGTGTCTGTCCGTCCGTGTCCCGTGCCGCAGCGAAGCAGGTGGTTGGGTAGCCGTTTGTCCAGGATTTGGGTCCTGTCACGGCAGTCGCAGCGGTCCGGAACGGGGAGAGGCAGTCCGAGCCGGAACTGTAGTGCAAACGCAAACAGTTCCGGGCTGAGGCGGAGGGAGGGCATGTACGGGATGGCAAGCAGCCAGTCCCCTGCCCCAAAGCCTGTCAGAGAGAGTAGCCGCTGCGTATGTCCTGACATTGGGTTTAATTCCATTTGTCTTGACCCCACTAACTGCGCGGCGAAGCGGCTGCCCTGGACGACAAGGGCGAGGCTGTGCTGCAGCTTGTTTGTAGGTGCAGTCCGTTCTTTCGCTAGCAGCTCCACGGCTTCCTCCCCCAGGGCGGCCTCGCACTCCAGGAGCCATCGCTGCAGCTGATGCTGGTCTGTGCTGTCGACCGCTGGCCGCGCCAAGGTGCCGGTCAGGTGGAGCCCTGCGGGTCCCAGTAGGGAGCTAAGTAAGTTCTGCGCCTGTACGAAACTCGCCAGGAAGCTGTACTTTCCCTCGACCGCGGGATCTGTTCTACCGAGGCCCCCGAGGAAAGCTGTACTTTCCCTCTCTCTCTCTCTCTCTCTCTAATGGCCCTTTCATTGATTGATACAAGGTCATACAGGCGTGCACGGCAATTGCTAAACGCGGGAAGGTCTAAGGCATATCCCTCAACATACGCACACATGAACTCTACCCCCTTCCCCCCCCCCCTTAAGCTAGGTCCAGAGCAGGATCCAGGACCGAGAGGCAGTCCCCTAGGGACGGGGCCTCCCCCACTGGCTCTAGCAGTGGGTTTTCTATGGCAGCTGCTATGCTGCACTTTTCAAGGTAACCAATCGACTGCCCCCTTTGAAGAGCCACCGACCACCGCTGCCGGTATTGGTGTAGAAGCTTGGCAGCTTGGTAGGAGGTGGGCTCGGCGTGGAAGAACCGCCTTGCAGCTGTATCCGCGAGCAGTTTCAGGAAGTCTACTGTCTCAGGGCATGGGCACCCATACGTCTCGACCGCTAGTGGGAAGAACTTCACCCACTCAGGGCGGTCCGTGTACAAGCCGTGCTTCTTGTCTGCAGCTTCTCGTGCCGCCCATCCCCGCCCCTTAGATGCATTCTCGTCGCGGGTGCTGATGGGGTCCGTCACCGTCACATCACAGATGTAGACGGCGCCGGTGGAGCGGCATCGTAAGGCCAAATCCGCCTTCTTCTCCTCCACGGGGCTGAAGGCAGCCGTCTCTATGTGTACCATGAATCCAGCGTCTCGCGCCATCCGTGCGCACTCGTCTCGTAACTCATTATGTGTGTTTGTGCGTCCCCCCCCCCCCGTGCCGCAGCGTAGCAGGTGGTTCGGAAGCCGCTTATCTGGGATCTTCACCTTCTTTGTGCAGTTGCAAACCCCTGGAGCAGCGAAGGGGAGGCCTAGCCGGAACTGGACCGCGTTGGCATAGTGGGGGGCCTCTAGGCGTAGCGAGGAGTGGATGGGCACGGCGTTTAACCAGTCCCCAGCCCCGTACCCTGACAGGGACAGCAGCCGCTGCGTGTGGCCGTTGTTGGGGTTCGGCCTCATCCCCCTCGCCTCCTCCACCTGCACGGCATAGCGCTGGCCCTGGATCGCCGTGGCCAGGCCGTGCTGCAGCTTCCCCGCGGTTGGAGCTGTTCTTTCTGCTTGCAGGGCCTCTTGTGCCGGCAGGGGGAGCTCCTCCTCACAATCCGCTAGCCATTCGGTCAGAGGAGAGGACCGCGTGTATGGGCCGCGCATCAGCTCTCGTGTAGCGTCCAATGGGCCGATGCGCTCGCCATCCAGGGAGTCAAGCAGCAGCTGCGCCTGCGTGTAGCTGGCGAGGAAGCTGTAGCCTCCTTCCACGGTGGGGTCGGTCAGGCCGAGCCCTCCCAACGACACGGGGAGAGAGGCTTGCGCCCACGTGCGTGAAGTTTCCTCCCCGCGCGGGTGATTGATGCCGCATGCCGTCAGGAGCGTTTCCAGCAGCCTCCTTCCCCATTCTGACCACTCCTCCTTGGGCAGGGATGGCAGCGGTGTTGTGCGGGCTAGGTAAGACACCCGGCGCGAGATGCACCGAGAAAGCAGCAGCCCAGCCAGCTGAGGCTCCATCTGCTCAATCAACCCCAGAGGCGCTCCCATTGCCTCCAGGCTGGACCGCACAAAGGCTGAGGTAGCCGTGGTGGTGCCGATGTAGCTCCCCAACACCTTCAAGCCGTCATGACTTGGGGGAGCTCCTTCAGGTAGGTGTACATCTGTGGGCGGCTCATCTGACCATGCCCCGCACTTTGCAGGGTTGTGCCTCAGCCCTATTTCTGCCAGGCGGCCCGTGAAGTTGTTGAATGCAGCGGCACATGACGACGGTTCTCCCAAAAAGGTGACGTCGTCCGCGTAGGCAAGGCAGATGACATCTGGATGTGCCTCCGCGGCCGCCTTCAGGGCTGGGTGCATGGCCGCGGCAAAGAGAAGGGGGCCGAGGGGATCCCCCTGACGGACTCCCGTCTCGCTGAGCAGGGGCGGGTGATTAAAGGCCGCGTCCAGATGCAGAGTGGACGGCTGGCCGTAGGAGAAGTGTACCAGTGGCAGCATCGGTTCAAGCTTCGAGCCTTTCAATGCCGACGCTATGGCGTGGCGATCCACACTGTTGAAGGCGTTCGCCAAGTCGGCCTGTAGGACCAGCGCGTTTCTGTTGGCCGCGGTGAAGGTTCGTACGACGTGAATGACCGCTTCCGCTCCTCCGGGGACAGCCACGCCAAATTGCAGAGGTAAGAAGAACTCACGCGCAGCTTCTGCTAGCTGGGAAAGCGCGGCCTTTGCTGCTAATCGGAGGATACACTCGCCTATGGCAATCGGCCTGGTTCCTCCGTCGGGCTTGTCGAGGGCAATCAACCGCGAAGCAGTGAGTAGCCGCCCTACCTCCACGCCCAGTTTTCCGCGCAAGATGGTGTTGACTAGCGCGTGTAGGTGAGTGCTGACTTCAGTGTGCATCAGGGCTGCTTCGCGCAGGTGCTCGAATGTCGTGCCTGAAGGGCCCGCCCCTACCCCATTCTCGCATTTGGAGAGAAGCTTCAGGAAGACTTCCCGTGAGACTGACAGATAAGAGTCTGGTTCGGGTTGGGGCCACGGGGTGTCAGGGCGCTGGGCCCTTGGGTGTTTGGCGCGCAGGGAATCCAGAACCTCAGGGGACGGCGTGCTGACTGGCGTGGCTTCAAGAGCCATAACGGCCCTCTTCAGACTGCCACGTCGCGCCAGTCCTTCAGCTCTGGAGATTATCCCCAGGTTGTCTGGCTGATGCCTTGGGGGGGGAGGGAGATTGAGCGAGTCCACTGTCTCCTGATACAGTGATTCCCACTCCCCTCGCAGGAATTTGCGCAGACGATTTTTGGTGGCCTTCCAATCAGGGTGCTTTGGTGAGTGCTGACGCAGCGTCAGGCGAGCGGCAAACAGCAGCACAGTCCAGGCTTGGGTGGAGTCAGGGTCGCGGGCGAGGCGCAACAGTGGCGTCAGGATAACCATTGCGAAAAGAAGGCGGAGTTTTTCTGGCAGGCGACGTGTCAGAGGTGAGTTGCGACTGTCACGAAGCAAGTCTAGGTTCCAGTCAGTTACGCATGCGAAAAGCGTGTCGTCCCTAGCGAGGGCCTCCGGCGATTTTTGGGGGGGCGGTTGTGTCTGCTGCTGGTTACCCCTCGCCACCGTTCGTGGTGCAGTGGTAGGTGCCGAGGTCAGGTTTGGAATGGCGGGCTGGTTGGCAGTGGTGGCGGGGTTGGCAGAGATGGTTCGACG